GCAGTTAAATATTCAATAATCCCATGATTCTGAAAAAGATGTCTGTGCAATAAAACCAAAACAAAAATGTAATTACTTTTAAATGGCGATAATATAATTATTAGTATTATCGAAGAATGTGTTGATGAATGTTTGACTTGGCTCTCGTATCACATTTATGTTTTTGCAAAAGAATAATTTAAATAGATATTTAACTACAAGTACCATTTGAAAATATGCAAGTGTGCAATGGAATAATGATATGTATGTAATACATATGCTGACAGTTAATATTAACCATTAATATTAAAAATTTTGCTCAGTATATATAGTTAACATTTGACGTCATACGACATTTCAAATCAAAGTTTTTTTAAATTTTTGTTTTGTGCAAAATAAGTAGGTAATTCTTAGTATTCATAGTGATCTAAGCGGACTTTGTCGTGACAAATAAGCAATATATTTTGTCTTTTATTTATTAACTCTTACTACTAAGAACGAAGATTGTACCAAATCGAGATATAGAAAAACATGATGATCAGGATCCTCCTACTGTAAAATCCAGGTTTATAAATATACATCAATACTTTAACTGTTGTTTATTGGTTTTTTACAAACTTGCTATCCATAAAAATAGATCCTACCGAAAATTGCTCTTTTTGAAACATTGTGAAGAATTAAAGAAAGAAGAAGAAAAATCTCAGTTGTAGCACGGAGTTTGGAAATGTGCCCGATATATGGCAATAGGCTCACCCCATAACATAATGTGTGTGTTACAAATTACAATGTAACATATTTACTAATATTCTGATATATCTAAAATATTATTTGGGCAAAGTATTAATGGGATTAAAAAAATCTCAGTAGTAGCACGGAGTCTGGTATTGTGCCCGGTATATGGCAATAGGCTCACCCCGTATTACATGGGACTTATAACATAAATAGTGAAAAGTGGGTGTTACATTGTACAGTGGTATTAAGTGCCGTAATTTGCACCTCTGCCTACACCTTTGGGGATAAAAAGGCGTGAAGTTATATTATGTGAAGAAGGCAAACAGCATTAAAGTGAAGTCGATTAGCATAGAATACAGGAAGGTCCAAACGTGACGGAGACACATTCCTGTAGACAAAACAGATGAACCGAAAATGATTCTGGAAAATAGCACATAACTACTTTTAATTCCCCAACGAAAAGGCAGAGACAGACTTCATAAGAATCGATTAAGGGACCACACATTCGACAGAGATCGGGCAGTAGCACTCTCTGACAAACCTGAACCTTTTAAACTGCGAATTTCAATCCAACTGCTAAGCGCAGAAAGTTTATTATCCTAAAATTAGTAATAGATATTATGTGATAAAAAGTTTCAAAGATTCTTAGTAAGGTGCCTAAAAAAGTCTTTCTTAGAAATCTCATATCGTTAAAGAATCCTTAATAATCCATAAAATTGCAGGGATGTAATAAATTTAAAAATGTCATTATTTTTGTAATATAGTTTGCAATTTTTTTCTCTCATTGATTTTAGTAGGTAGTAATTTTATTAGACTTGGCACTTGTGCAACAATTATGTTTTTAAAAGAATATATTTTAAATAAACACGAACCTGCATGGAGATATGACATTTATCACTGATTGGTGGAGTTAATTTTATTAAATAAGTATATGATTAGATTAAGAGAACAATAAAATTATTGAAAAAAGTTAGAAGAACCCAATTTTGCCATTGAACTACATAGGTACTATATTTTGTCTATCGCAAAAAATACCAACCGAATTACTACTTCAGTGAATTGGTACATAATAATAATAATAATTAAAACACAGGTATCGTTAAATATAAACCAACATATTACCAAATAATTGAATTTATTTCAAAATAATTCATTTGTTAGAATTCTGAAATGTGCCCACAAACAGTTGTTCCTTATTGGCTGTGACCATGAAGTAAAATGGATAATTTGCGCTAAATCTTGTTGGCAGAACACCAGTACTAGTCGCTATTATGGTAGCTGCAAAACATTATAATAATATATTGAACTAGGAGTTTTTAGTTTCATAAACAAAATATTTGTCACAAGTCAAAGAAACAAGCATTGTTAGTTGATCAAATCAATAACTATTTGAATACATATTAGACTAGAAATTGATTCACTTTATATTTTTCCTTGGTTTCAAAATTCTTTTACTATCTTATGACTCGCGACAGATTGATTCATACACAACTGATATAGAGTTTTCTCAAGGAAATATTTGTGTTGTAAAAATTTAGGTAAGTATAGAAAAATACAATTTCTTTATGTTTTGTTTATTTTTTATCTTCACAAATGTCTTGTCCGGAATATATTCCAGAGAAAATTTGCTGTTTAAGATATACTATGTGGAACATATAAAGCCGATCAGCACGCAATATAGGAATGTCCAAATGGTTTGTATATTCTATTTGTACTTCGGCAATCATGAATATATACTTAAATACAACGATAGATTACAAAAAAGTATTCTGTACATAAAGTATTTATTGGAATATTTTTATCTTTTGTAGTCTAGATCTAGCCCAATCTTGTCTTGTATTTTTATGAGCAACAAAAACGTATTTCATAGGGAAAAAACCTCTAACTTTCATAATTCGCCCGAAAGCGTGAGAAATGTGAAATCTACGGAACCTGCATCCTACAGTGGAAGTATTCTGGCTAGTATTTTATATTATATATTTGATGTACCGTCGTTTGACCAGTAAATATAAGTTTACAGATCATTACATTTCATTCCAAAGACAAAAGGAATCTTATTCTTAATGATATATATTTTTATATACATAGGTACTTATTATTTTTTGAAGAAAATAATCTATTGTAAAAATAAAAATACAGTTAACTTTAACCGTTCATTTAATTTTGTGTTTCAGAGTTATTTTCCTTGATATGTTCCCGCAAACAACTGTTCTTTAATAGCAGTGACAAAAAATAAGAATGGATGGTCCGCTTTCAATTTCAATGGTACAACATACTTTATTTGTTCTATATCTAGCCCTGAAAGCACACACTACAGTCAGGGTATTGTATAATCAAACAGAACAAGTATTAAACAAAGAACTTATTGTGAGCACAAAATAATAAATAGAATATTACGAAACGATAAAAGAAGAAAATTCGGTAGTTTCCTAAATTTTTATGTTCGTTTGATAGATTATTTTAAAAGATTAAACACGTATTTTTTCTTTTTTTACAAAATTCAATACTTTCGGCGATATATTCATTTGAAATATCGAGTGACGTCACAGTGTGCCACATTTTGTAGCACGTTATGACGTAACAACCTCCCACTCCTAAACTTAGCGCCATTTTATCTAAACATTGCAACTTAATACGAGTAAATAAAAAATACGTATCTAATATTTTTTCCTTATCTAACTGACGGACTAATTATATTTTTAATTTTGATACCCTGTATACTACCTAATTTTAAGTAGTAGCACGGATTCTGGAATTGTGCCCGGTATATGGCAATAGCCTTACCCCCTATTACATGGGACTCATAACATAAATAGTGAAAAGTAGGTGTTACATTGTAGAGTGGCACAATGTGCACCTCTGCCCAGCCCTTCGGGGATAAAAGGCGTAATGTTATGTTATGACAAATTGATACCTAAATAATAAATGTTTTTTTAAACGTTGCCATAAACTAGGATTTTCACCTGTCTCGTAGGTGCGTTTACAAACATACAAGTTCACATACACATGAGACCCAGACCTGGAACAACAATTTATGGACCTCACAAAGTTTTGTTCCGTGCGGGAATCGAACCTGGGACACATTGCACGGTAGTCAGACAGTAGCCCAGCCCCCGCACCAACCGTGTCGTCAATTATGTACCTAACTTGGCTAGAGGCGTGGCAGTCTCCTCGCTAAGTCGAGCATTAATAATATTTTAGGAGTAGTTATAGTACTGCCTCATTGGCCGAGTGGTCGCAAGTACGACTGCCGGGTAAGGGGTCTCGGGTTCGATTCCCGGGTCGGGCAAGTATTACTGGGTTTTTAAAAAAAACCTCAGTGGTAGTAGCACGAAGTCTGGAACTGTGCCCGGTATATGGCAATAGACTCACCCCCCTGTTACATGGGACTCATAACTACATACCTCTATATAGTGAAAAGTGGATGTTACATTGTATAGTGGCATTAAGTACCGTAATTTGCATCTCTGCCGATCCCTTCGGGGATAAAAGGCGTGATGTTACGTATGTTTTATGTAGTTATAGTATGATGCTAAATGACGCATTTTACCTAATGTCTACATTCTATCTATTAACCTTATGACTACCGGTATATAAGATGCAATAGAAAATAGATCTGCGTTCCAAAACACGAAGGGTTAATAGGATGATGTTTAGATTAACTCAAAAAGTTAAAGTTAAAGTTTTTATGCCATCAGAAACTTAATCTATTAACATCTATTTTACATTGATTTGAAATATCGCATGACGTCTTGTTTTAGTGCGTTTTACATAGCGAACTTTTACTGTTTCTATTTAAGGATTTGTTATAAAATGCTTATTAGTTTAATTCACTTAAGTGTTCAGTGCTCAAAGCCATTGTGTATTAATTATCAAACGAAACTGTTATTTTAAAAGTTTCCTAATTTTTAAATGAACCAATTCTTATAATTATTATTTTTAGAGTGATTACTATAATTGTTAATGTTTATTGATGAACCTTGACGTTCCATAGTCTCTGCCTACCTCCACGGATGTGATTTTCGACCTATCTTTCAACCGATGTACAAAGTTATAAAAAATATGGAGTATGGCAAAATATTGACTAAAGAATCCTATTCCTATATACATACTATAAAGAAAATAACGATAAAATATAATGAAAGTGATTTAACCAAAGTAGTCAAACAGAAGTTTTGATAAAGTCAATGACAATTTCATACATTGTATACACATGTTATTATTAGAGACATAAGAAAATTCAGCAATATTGATTTTACTACAGATTAGTATCAACCGCAAGCAGCAATAGTTAGTAAGAAGATATTTTTAAAAATCCCATGATTCAATATGAGTTCCTAGTCCTCCAATCGTTTCACTATTTTTTGCATTCTACTATATTAAGTCTCGAGATTTCAGAATGATGACTAAACAAGTAAATAACTCCATAGACCTATTTCAAGACACTATGAGATATATCTATTCAAGTTCTAAAGAATAAATAAATGTCACTAAAATCAGCTAGGCTATTCTGGAACTATGAATCGAGTTGTTAAAATAATCTCTACCAATGACGGAGAGAATGCGATCGAACTCACTTCAAAAGTTCGAATAGAGAATGATGACGGGGTATGAAAATTAAAATCTAATTAATCCGTCAGTTAGGTAATAAAAAAATATAAGACACGTATTTTTTTATTTTATTGTATACATATTAAAATAGTCAAAGTCAAAGTCAAAATCATTTATTTCAATTAGGCCAGAATGGCACTTTTGAACGACAACAAAAAAAATTAAAAGCGAAGCTATTTGCTCATTCCAAGGTGTAGATTCCTATGGAGAAGAACGAGCAAGAAACTCCATAGGTTACTTTTTTCCAATCAGGTTCACAATACAATTTACTAGTTACATAGTTTTGCTGTTTGGATTGTGCAATAACAATGTAACTCTAGAATCCAGTCAAAGTGATCAAAAAAGAAAATAACCTTAAGAACTATAATACAGTCTGGAGCTGACCAGTCCCAGTTGACGGCGCCCGTTCACGAACATGACGCGTACACCAGCACCGCCCAACTCAACCATATTGTAGGGAATCGAGCGATCCACTGCACGCGCCACCGCCAATGAGACCTTTGAGTGATCATGACAACTCCAAGCTGACACTAATAATACTTAGATAATACGAATCAAAGTTTAGTTTAGGAGTGGGGGCTAAAACGCCATTTCTACGTATAAAATGTAAGTAATAGAAGTGACGTCACACGACTTTTCAAATCAATACTCGATTGCACGTTTGGTGCGGTGGCTGGGCAACTGGCTGCCGCGCAACGTGTCGTGGGTTCGATTCCCGCACGGAGCAATAATAATATCTATCGATTGTTGTTTCGGGTCTGGGTGTAACGTGTATGTGAACTTGTATTTTTGTAAACTCATCCACGACACAGGACAAAATCCTACTGTGGGACAACGTTTAATTTTTAAGAAAAAAAATTTATCGTCAAAAGTATTCGTTTCTGTGCGAAAAAAAATACGTGTCTAATGTTTTAAGACAATCTACCAGACGGACATTAAAATAAAAAATAGGCTTCTACACTACTATCAGTTACAGAATAACCTAGTTGCTTCAGAAACTTAAAGTGTTCAGAATATATCAATATTCTTACCTGAAACAGCAGCTGCTTCAGTTCCCTTCTCATTTACTTCAATAACAGCTTTTTGTATGGCTTTAGAAATATGAACACTTTCGTTGTCAACTATACCGGTCAATTTGGATTTTCTAACGTCAAATAGTGAACGTAATCCGACCTGAAATTTTTGTTTAATTTTATACTTACGTATAGATACATATGTATAGTTACAAAAAATTATTTGGCTGACTTAAAAAAAATCTCTCAATTTGATCTGTTTGTATATCTACCTACGTTTGTGCGTGAAAGTGGTTTTTTACAATTAGGACAAGGTTTTAGTACCTATATTAATTTTATTTAATTTTATTTGTGTGAGTAGGAGCCTAGGAGGAGATAAATATAGTTCGTCTAACTGTCTATAATACTACGCATCGCATTAATTATCAACTCACCGTTTTATACAGAGCGCCTAGATCGATTTCCGTTTCAATTTTGAACTTAGGTATGCACAATATAAGGTCTGTTTTTTTCATTTTCTCCAAAGCTTGGTTCAATAGTTCGGGTGCTAGTTTTAGAGCTCGCAGCAGTACTGCTAGACCATTCTTGCTGTATGGCAAAACTATAACCATTGAGGATTGCCCTCCTTCGTAAGGAATTTCGACGATCTGCAAACAACGGTACAGAGCTTTAGTTTTATTTGGATAGTCAATCTGTCCTTTGATAGATTTGGAAACTTAATGTTTTGGAATAAAATTGATAATGCATTGCAAAAAAGAGATACTGCTGTCCTTACAGCTGTATTCCGTTTCGATCTCTTTGACTGAATTATAGTGTTACATTGTTCTCGCACAATCGAACCAATAAAACTATGTAGCTAGAGAATTGCATTGTAAACCTGATTGAAAAAGAGTAATTTACGGAGTTTCTGGCTCGTACTTCACCATAGGAATCTACACGTTGGAATGAGCAAATGGCTTCACTTTTAAATTTTTTGTTGACTTTCAAAAGTGTCTTCCTTGTCAAATTGAAATAGGTATATGATTTTGACTTTGACTTTGGGTTCGAGTGAGACAAAAACGACAGTCATCATTGCAAAATAGACTTAAATAATACTACCTGAGCATTCAAAGTATCACATTGATAGTAATTGTATGTCCCTTGCCGTGTCATCATTGGTACACGGTGCGTTCCTGATGGTGAATGAAAGTCGTCCGTGTATGTCCTGCCGAATTGATTATTCCAAGAACCCTGAAATTAATGAGCTCCACCATTATCATTATATTGACCAACGGAACATATTTTTATCTTTTCGTTACTACCTAAGTGATTGTCACTTATGTAGAGTGACTATGATGAAGTGCGACTGCCGGGCAAGGGGTGTCGGGTTCGATTCCCAGGTCGGGCGAAGTATTACTGGGTTTTAAAAAAAATCCCAGTAGTAGCACGGAGTCTGGAATTTTGCCTGGTATATGGCAATAGGTTCACCCCCTATTACATGGGACCCATGACATAAATAGTGGAAAGTGAGTGTTACAATACATTGTGTAGGGGCATTATGTGCCGTAATGTGCACGCCTTTACCTCCGGGGATAAAAGGCGTGATGTTATGTTACGTAGTGACATACCATCATACATGACCTGTACAATGCGCTAAAGGTGATACGTGTATCACGCTGTACAGTTAAGTCGTAATTGTTCGAATAAAACCCGTAATAAAAAAACATCGCACCAATTACTCCACCAAATTCACATCATTCATTTGCACTCAATCTCAAATGCAATTGGCCTAACCCGGAAATAAAGCCAACACAATTAACCAGGCAATCCTTTTTTGGAAATAATGGGAAGGTCCGGTCACGTAAAACCATGTTACTAAGGGCCTAATGACGATAGGTCCATCCTAAAATAAGCACCTAATGCATGGAACGTGGGTTTAAAACACTTTTTGGACCCTTACCTTTAGCCAAACTAAATATAAACTTATTTACCCACGTTAATGTGTATTTTAGGGATAACCGAAAAGCAATATGGTGACGATAGAGTAAAATACATTTGTCACCATCCGTACTCTTCCCCCGGGTGTGGTTAGGTCAGGGACAGATTTGACCGAGAACAAGCGCGAGTGATAGAGAGTGGTAGCGCTGTCTGATAAAACTGAACCTTTTAAACTGCGAAGTTCCACCCGCCAGTCAAGCATAAAGATTATTGTGTGCATAGCCTTCAAATCATTGATATATTTTTGATTTTGTACGTCATACTTACGTAGAAGTAGATGGCGTTGACGAGAATCAAAGAAGTATCTCTTGAAATATCTGATGGTCGAATCAATTTCTTTATTTTACCTCGTGTTTTTTCTGATACCTGATTATTCAACAAAATCTTAATTAAGTAAATAATAGAGTTAGTTTATGTCGTGGTGGCCTGGAGGCCCGCTTCTCATGCATGAGGGTGCGGGTTCGAAATTGACCAACGGCAAGTACTAATGTGACTTTTTCCAAGTTACATGTACTTTCTAAGATTATTTAGACACAACTGACAAGCGGTGAAAGAAAACACGGGAGGAAACCTAGGCTTATAATTTCTAATTATAAGTTTGTAATCACCAACCCGCATTGAGCAAGCGTGGTGATTAGTGCTCAAACCTTCTCCGTGTGAGAAGAGGCTTTGCTCAGCAGTGGGCATTTATAGGCTGTTGATGATGAAATAATAGTTACTTTAAGTGATGGTTTTATGCTTGTTGACAAATTCAACCAAGAGAAGACTGGTGTTTCTTGTAGCTGAGCAGATCTTTTTAAACTGTCAAACACCAAGCGGTCACCGGTGACCGCAACCTATTGTTCTATAATTGTGTCGACAAAACCGGTACTCGACGAGTTAAGCGCCTTTACTACATGTGATCTGTTTTGAGTTGGCTTAACTAAGTTTGACGGCCGATGGGACAGAAAAGCTTTTAAATTGAAGGTCACATTTCGGTAATCGTAGTTGACCGTTCAAAAAATGCTTAAATGAGACAGTAATTCAAGCCTTACTCACCCAACTGTTAATCATTGATGCAGTCTCCGATGGGTCTGAAGCATCAATCTTCTGACAAGACGACTTGAAAATTTGTTTAGTGTGTTTTTCGAATTTTCTGTTTAGTGTACTTTCGGAACCGACGTATATCCTGCTGGCCACGTCCAGAGTAACTCCGGGCAGGTACTGCATGTTTGTGATTAAATGTGCGAACGAGCTTTCTATCTGTATTGAAAAAGGAAACAATGAAATAGATACTTACCTCTTCTTCTTTAAGTATCATTTTTGTAGTTGTAAAGCATTCTATATTTTATTACTTTGTCTCACTTCAAATATCTTTAAGAACTAGTTAAAGGCATCCAAGTACCTATGCACTTCCGATTCTTCATCATTAGTGTGATTTACAAACTATAGGTATTAAAAAACTGTCCAGTTACTTCAGTGTGTACTTACTTGCTTACTATTGCTAAGACCTAAGGCTCTTAATAATTCTTTTTCTGATTTTCCTTCTGCTCCTAATGCTAATTTTCCTAAAGGCATCAACGCAGACATTGGAGAACAAATCATATTCCTCGCATGATCCACTAACGCTGCTTCCTAAAATGATAATTTACTTTTAAGCGTAGCACAAAAGGGACAATGATCACTCTAGTTTTTTTTTTAAATAAGAGGCTAATCGATAAGGGACTCTTAATTAATAATTGTGCATAAAACTGACAGATCTGTATGTTGTATTTGTTTACCATTTTTGAAGTGGTGGAATATTCCAATATATATCGTATCGTATATTACGATAGATTGTCATTTAAGCCACTTGACCCATTAAAGTAATAGGTACAACAAACACAAGATATTATATTTTTAGTACAATAATTATTTCTAAAAAATCTGGTTAATTATTCAACCAATGCCATTGTTTTCAATCACTTTGTTCTCTAGAAAAAGACAAAAGAGATTGCGGTACCCGTTTACTAAGACGGTAACATAATTTCAACGTATACTCTTATACTACTATATAAGGCTGAAGAGTTTTATTTGGTTGTTTGTTTGTTTGTTTAAACGCGCTAATCTCAGGAACTACTGGTCCGATTTGAAAAGTACTTTTAATGTTAGATAGCCCATATATCGAGGAAGGCTATAGGTATTAAACCACACGCTACAATCAATAGGAACCGAGCTAGCTAGTACTTAATAATAGTTACAATTTCCTACATGGTCCGCATGCACTTTTCTCACTCATCTAATGACTTTTCCCACCTTGGGTAAAGCGAGAAAGTGTCAGAGCCTTACTGACTAAAAACGACGACGTTCGTACGACTTCTTAGAACCGAAGCCTCGGTAACCGGCTAGGCCATTCGTAAGGTAGGTTAGGTATGACGTCTGCAGCGCCGGTTGTGCTGTTGCAGTTTTATTTAAGTTATGGTAACCACTTACCATCAGGTAGGCTGCAAGCTCTATAGCCAAAAGGCATGGATTTAACATTTTAAATAAATCTACTTATTTACCAAAGCGAATTGCTTCCGCATGGTTCCTCTAAGATCCAAATATGTGTCGACGAACGTGACATGTTCCACATCCTGTTCCTCACTCTCAATGTATCGCATTTTCGTCTGAATCGTCTCTGTCGTAGTGTTCCCGTTCACATTCTTATGTTTATGTTTTTTCGCTGCCACTATGATACCTAAATATACCACTGAAAAAGTAGGGTCGGTTATAATTAAGTCTAGAATATTTTTTAGATTTTTGCTATTGTTTAACAGAAGCTTTGTTGTTCAGCTCTTCGACGGTAGGCGGGTAAGATTTTCGACTTTATATCTAGACGATAGAGTTGAAAATTTAATAAAGATTTGACAGAAAAGGGAAGCCGAACTGCTGCCACCTGTACCTACAATACTATTACCATTACCTACATACACTTTGGCTTTGATCTGTAAGTTTCTACCTGAGTAACAGTACTCACGTTGGTACTTGGAAAAATATTTTTTATTTCATAATCATTATTTTTTTATAGACCTGTAACCAAAGAAACAAATAGATCTATACTTACAAATAAAGTAAAGTCTCATTATATTTAATTAAATAGCCAATCCATGAGATTTAAACAGACCACACCGTAAAAATTTAAGTAAGTTCTGATAAACGCACATCATTTTTTCAATCAAGTGATTCGTTACTGTTTATACGTTTGATGGAACTAATTAGCAATCTACGGAGAGATACAGTTGATATAATACCTACCAGTTCTTGCGTCAGCTTTGCTCAACAAAATCCTCTACAAAATTATGCTATTACGACAATTAGTAATCACACATAGCGCCATATACATATTTTTTCAGATTTTGTTGATTTTCATACAAAATACCTTTACGGGATAAGCCAGTAAACGAGCAGACGGATCACCTGATGGTAAGTAATCGGCGCCGCCCACGGACACCTGAAAGTCCAGAGGGGTTATAAGTGCGTTACCGGCCTTTTGAGAATTAGGAAATTGAGGATTGTGAGGCATTCGCGGTTTGAGGAGACTGGGGAGGGAGGTAATTGGGCATCCGGTAACTTCACTCACACGACGAAACACAACGCAAGCGTTGTTTCACGTCGGTTTTCTGTGAGGCCGTGGTATCACTCCGGTCAAGCCGGTCCATTCGTGCCGAAGCATGGCTTTCCTACACGAAGGAAAACTATAACACCTAAACTAAACTATAACATTGGAAATATAAATCTATAAAAAATAATCCTTAAATCCTCCTCTATCTGTACGTTTTTTTTAAATTAGTTACACAAGTAGTTACCTACATAGGTCAATACTAAAACGAATCAATTTAGCGATTGCAATGTGATCACCATTATGTATCCGAGTTGAGTTGCAGATAAATCAAACATAACAAGATCGTTTATTGAAGTGCCAAGTAAGATAGGATTTAAGATGATCGTTATAAGAATACATTTTATACATTTTATTACCTACTAGCTGACTCGGCAAACTTCGTACCGCCTAAAAGTTTTTTCTCACCTTTTAAACCTTCCCTAGACTTCCACGAACCTATCAAGACCAAACTTAGCCAAATCAGTTCAGCCGTTCTCGAGTTTTAGCGAGGCTAACGAACAGAAATTCGTTTTATTTATATAGATAAGTTACTGAGTTCGTAAATGAAACATAATAATATGAGGAGAAAACTCTACCTATTTTAATAACTTACCTAATTAAAAATAAATGAACATTAGCGTCTTCGCCAACCAACCTGTTGTCATACTTTTATACAACAATATGCTCCATAACAAGGCAAAAGTTGTGCCTCACTGATTGGGACTGTATTCTGTATTGAATAGGAATTAATTAGCATCGCTTTACTTTAGAGAAACCTTTAGATAAGACTAAAAAAAAAATTCTAGAGTTGGCAACAATTATAATAATTTGACAGTTGACATTGATAGAATTTAATAGTTGACACTTGACAGAAACGTAAAGATTTCAAAATGTCAGGCTGCCTTTCGTAGGTAAATCAATCAAATCGTGTTCCTATTGAGTTTTCGCTTGAAAAACTTAATTAAAACAGCTTATATTTTTTGTGTTAAGGAAGATTTATACTCCTTGTAAGATTTTTAATACAACGTACGTTTTAATAGTACGTGCGTAACGCGCGGAAGTTATCAGATTTCTTCCACAACCACAACAAAATGATTCCTAGCGAGATTTTTGCTGAAGATTTGATGAGTACAGTTATCCGGTATGGCTTGTACATCGGTGCAGCTTTCCAGATTGTGTGTCTTATGGCCTGTGTAACTCTAACTGACGAACAGAGCGAGCCACATCCTTACGAAAAGGTAATTTAGTTTCTTTAAGTTATCTTCTAGTTAGTTCTTAGAGTAGTTCTTTAAACTATGAGTATAGATTTCCTCTTATTAGTGGTCGTCTTGTTTACACCTATTCTTATATTATAAGATTCTGAAAACCTGATGTTACCCATCTAGGCACATAGTTCTCAAAGGCAAACATATGTTGTGATACTCCAAAGCTTTATCACATTTCGAAATATAGCTACTGTCCATTAATTTGTTGCACTGAGTTAACTGTAACTATACATTCCTTTAGTATATAAAAGCTTCTGTATAAAAATAACAGAGTAACCTCAAAAATACTGAACCAAAATGAAATACATTTGTATTTTTGTTGGCAATAAATACTAATTGTAGACTTGAGAAATTAGAAAATGACTTGGATGGTCCACAAATGGCATTAATTCATTAACAAATGTTTTTATATTATCTAGGTAGCATACATATACAATGTCCAAAGAATATTGTTATTACTGTTTAACAATTTTATGCAAATTCCGTAAATAGAGGAGTTTCTCAATTTGGAGTATAATTTCTGCTTTCGTTTTCTATGTATCTCTTTAAATTACAGGCCTACACTGACAGTGATGAATGCAGCTCCGAGCAGTCTTCACCAGGACACCGAGCAACCATGTCTCGAGCTCGTCGCCATGACAAGAAGAAAAGACGTTAAATATAAACTCTATCAATGGAACCCACCGATCTCAAAATGTGTCTCTAACAGCTAATTTATACATCTTTGTATTAGATTATTGATCTCTATTTTATTTTGATATACTTTTATAATTTTTTGAGTAGAAAATCAAGTAACTTTATTTGAAATGACATTGGTACATTGTAAGCATAATTGTTTTGTATTCTAGGTATAGTAATATAGTTGATTGATACAATATTTTGGTTACTTAGTTTACTCACAATTTTTATTTTTATATAAAATAGATCTCTGCATAATCATTATAGTAGACTTCATTAACATACTGTGTTTTTAATAAAGTTAATATGTTAAAAAGTGTTAACAATACTCTATCAGTAAAAAACAAAATGTAGTCAGAATTGACTATATTATGAATCCACTGAACAAAATAAAAATACTCATACTAAATCAGTCCTAAAAATTTAATAAAAGTAGAATTATCGATTTTGAATGTAAGTAGAATGTTGTGTATTGTATAATAGACTAACCGCCATACTCAAAGTCATTACTACTTAAATGCCAGTATATAAGCCACAATAGAAAATGAGTTGTTTCTCGCCTAGATCTGCTCATCTGATCTTTCAGCTCATGGGTCAGTAGTTACTTAACATTGTAGTTTTGTTTTCGGAACAGTCTCATGAATATTTTAAGTAATAATAAAATTAATGTATTGGAGTATGGCAGATAGTATTTTAGTGTTTTCGATAGATGTAATTATTTTTTAATGGATTGAATAGTGAAGGCCCTAAGAGATAGTATGCAATGCATAATGGGGGCTGTTTTATTGCTCGCCGATTGGCGCAAATACGGGAAGGGGGTTCGTTGTCCTATCACAGCAGCTGTCTAATATTTAACTAACAATAATGTTACACTAGACACTTTTTTTTATTTAATGGGCCGACGTTTGACCACTATCTCGCCTCACCAGGCGTCATCGCTTATCACTGTAAGCGATGACGCGGTCTACGATGCACGTCGACCCATAAGCAACCTATTCATTCGGGCCTTGAAGACACCCAGATTATACCCATAACTCCTTATTGGACGAAGAACTAGTCTCAAACTGGCGCCATCAGGTGAGCAAAAATACCGTAGGCCCCATTAAGTCATTCAAAGTGAATGAAAAATTAAAGGATAATTGTACTATTTTAATTTTTATGAAATAAAACATTTCAAGATAATATAAAGCATTTTATTTGTTATGTGGACTAGAAACCTTACAGCATTAACATTATTGCATCTATTTATTATTAAACTATAGAATAAAAATCTCATATAAAATTATTCAACATTTTGTACAGTATAAGCACATTGTAAGTACAACATTTAAGGCACTGGGATACTTATATAATATATCTATAGAGATAGCACCAAACATTTTGTTCCTTACATTATTTAACGAGCTTCATAATCTTGTTCTTTTTAATCTATGGCACACAACTGGCACTCTGTCTCATTGAAGAAGTACTGTAAATATCTTACTTCGTTGTATAAATACTAAACCTACTTTGTATACATATATAAACATTTCTTCTGATTTAAAATGATTGCATCACTGTAAATATCACATCTAATTTTTTCATTTTTTTTTTTTGGGAATATATTTGTACTTCTTTCTCTTTACATTTCTTGGGACAGAGAGCATTGTATTGGAGAATTTTAAGTTATTAATATTACATTACACATAATAAAATAATTGACAAACATTATAATTGCACAAATTCATTGTATATGAATAAATACTCAGTGGCATGGAATATGACCCAAACAAAACTGATAACTAGGTCGCAGTGTTAATGGCAGTTGAACATAAATGAACGGGAAATATGTTCATGAACAATATGAACATGATAAAAATAACAAAACGCCTTTAAGCCCGAAGGGGTAGGCAGAGGTGCACATTACGGCACCTAATGCCACTACAATGCAACACCCACTTTTCACTATTTATGTTATGAGTCCCATGTAATAGGGGGTGAGCCTATTGCCATATACCGGGCATATTTCCAGACTCCGTGCTACTACTGAGGTTTTTACAACTCCAGTAATACTTTGCCCGACCCGGGAATCGGGAATCGAAGCCGAGACCCCTTGCCCGACAGTCGCACTTGCGACCACTCGGCCAATGAGGCATGATAAAATTTAATATATTCAACATGCAGATAATTTCTTAACTCGTCGAGTACCGGTTTTGTAGACACAATTATAGAACAATAGGTTGCGGTCACCGGTGACCGCTTGGTATTTGACAGTTTAAACCTTCATTTTTTTAAGGTAGCATTCATACAACTCTTCTTCGATTTTTATTTTCGAGATAAATCACGTATCGTGTTTGGGCCACTTTCCTTGCCGCTGAGTCTATATTATATATTAATTACGTAAATTGTATAACATTGCTACAGCAAAAACATGTATATAAAACAACAAAACACAGTTCACATATAATATTATTACTTATATCGATGAAAATATCACTTAGGCAGACTAACAGCGTAAAGATGGCAATGCAAGAAACCCAATGCTTTTGTACGTAGTTAAATGCAACGGTTTTAAAAGCTTCAATTGTTAACTCGATGTTAGATTGAAATTATGCGCTTTCAAAGCGTGTATCAGGTCGTTATCTGAAAGAAATTGTTTGAAAGCTTCAAGTTTCTTGAAACATATTGTAACGCAACACGCCTCGTCGCCATCACAGCACTTTTCTTTTTTGACCGTACAAGACGATACTTCTTCGGCAATAGACTTTTTGGCGTTTTGACACGAACCCTCTTCCGTAGATTTTTTGCCGCTACATGGTGACTTTTTGGCGCCACATGGCGTTTTATCACCACCACAGGGCGTCGATTTGCCACCACAAGGGGTCTTGTTGGTGCTACAAGGAGTATCACTGTCAGTAAAACGAGTATTGTTGCCGCTGCATGACGACTTCTTACCACTACATGGCGATTTGCTTTCACTGCACGGAGACTTATTTTCGCTACAGGGTGATTTCTTGTCACCACAAGAGGCTTTTTTGGCACTACAAGGTGTCTTCTCACCACTGCAAGTTTTCTTCTTGTCACCACACGACGGCTTCTGCTCATCTTGATGATGACCACATTTTTCACCAGATCCATGACCACTACATGAGCACGCGAAACTTTTCATCAATGCTGAAGTTTGAAGAGTTTCTTCACCTTCATGAACTGTAAATATTCCTAAATCTTCTAAGTTTGAATTGTTGTGTCGCCGGTGATAATGTAAGAACGTGTTGTGATTTGTGTCAGTAGCTTGCCCGCAACCTACTGCGCACTTCATAGCTTCGTGGTCGCATTTACAATCGATACATGAACACGTGTCGTCCAGACATTGCTGCGGCTTGGGAGGCTCCACGAGAGGTTCTTCTTCAGAACAATTGCCCCTGCACTCCCCAACAGAAGGATCACACTCACAAGTCATACACGAACAGATGCCAGCGTCAGCCGCCAACTGTTCCAGTGTATTCCTTTTCGCAACCTTACCAAATATATTCTCAGTCCTCACTACATACATATCAGAGGGAGGTTCATTATCAAACAATAATGTATCTTCCAAATCTAAGTCCGTATTGAAGAGAACCGAGTTGGCTGGGTTTATTTCGATGTTCTGCCTTACTTTGGATGGAGGAGGTGTGTTCAGAGATCTATCATCATCAGACCCTAAGAATAAGTCGATATCAGTATCTATTTTATTCGTATCGAGATTAGTGACTATTTCACTGTCGTTGAACACTTTATCGCCAACGTCTAGTACACTTGGAGTATCTAAATTGAATGAGTCGTGGGTTATAAGATTGGCGGTCGGTGCAACTTCTGTACTCAAGTCTATGTAACTCTGCATATGTGTGGGTACAAAGGTTGCTAGCGTGAAAATGCTTTCTGGAGTTTTTTCTTCGATGCAAACTGGGGTTTCTGATATTGAAGCTGCTAGAGCGCTTACATCCACCCACGGTGCTTGGTCTTCGATTTCATTTGCCAACGCCAGTTGCATCGCTTTGGACTTGACTTCTAACTTGGGATGTGTCATCTCAATCTCAGGTGTTTGTAGGGGTACCATGGGTTGTAGATCGTTAACATCGACCCACGGATCTTCGGTTTTCCTGTCAACTTTATCGACGGCGAATGGTGATAGAGTTAGACTGGCTAGATCATAGTCCACAGCGAGGTCATCTGTTTCTATATTTTTAAGGTTTTGATTGTTTTCTGAGAAAAGGAGTTCTGTTATGTCGACAGTGTTGACTTTGGTGATGTCTTCTAAGCTGCCGTCAGTTGAGTTGGATTCGGTCGTGATTCTGCCAAAGGATTCGAGTAGGCTGTCCCAGTTCATGACATCTTCGCCTGTTTTGGTCGGTTGTATTTGTTTCTGTATAGGTTCAATGATATCTTTGACTGGTTCGGTTTTGATCTGTGGAATAAAAAGACATGTTCTACATAAACAATATTTTTGGGCAATAATTCATCACTAAGTATTTTGTTAGACACTTTTATCTAGATATAAACCTAAAGAAATCTCTAGCACCAGTTGCCAGGCATGTTTATAGCATCTAGCATTTCCCCGGATGACTAATGGTGCGGGGGCTTAGAGTTGATTCATTAGAGTTTTCCAACCAGTATCAAAACATGCAAAAAAATTAAAAAGCTAGAATTCTCGACAGAACTAGGATTTTGTTCAACTAATGCACTTTTCTCGAGAACAAACGCGTGATATTTTAATTTTAAAACATTTTTAATTTGGTTTGTTGAATGATTGCGATTTATCTTTGCATCAAAACATTTGTACCGTGAAATAAAATTTTCATGTTTGGGTGCACGCCAAAAGCGTTTTTGTCTTTAAATTGAAAATACCAACACGTTGCGAATGTTTGTGTTAATTGTTTTTTGTAGATTAACAGCAGTATAGTCACACATTTAATACATTGTTCTTATTTGGTTAAAGTGAACTGCTGTACAGTGTTTGATTCCCATAGGGAACAATTCGTGATCCACAAATTATTGTTTCGGGTCCAAACCCAGAGCATGTCCACGTGTGATTTGTATGTATGTAAACGCGACAACCCACGACAAAATCTTCGCGTGGGACAACTGATTGATTAAGCCAAAAGATGTGGTGTTTTCACAAACCTGGTGTTTCACCGCGTGGGCTTTGAGACTGGTAGCGGTGGAGAACAGCCTCCCGCAGCCAGGCTCCGGGCAGGCGTGGGGCCGCGCCCCCGAGTGAGTGCGCCCGTGAGCCTTCAGGTGATGTGACGCCGTAAACGACTTGCCACATCCTTCTGTTCGACATCTGGAAGTTAATTGATAAATTCACAATTTAGCAATAATGTTTTGTTATACTTTGTCCTTATCCACTGGCTATCAGTTATTAGTCAGATATTATATACTATCAGTATCCATTACTAGGCTTCATAAAACGTCAGGACTCGATAAAATTAACATCCATTCACCTACTTAGCAAACACGAATAAATTCACCTAATTAATGGGCATTATAATATATCATAAAAATCACCTGGACTAATCAAGGTGCGAAAGGTAAGCTCATGGATAAATATGTAGACATTTACAAAACTAAGTACCAAATACATGTCATCTGGCCACATGCCAACAAACACTTTCTAGAAGCATTTGGCAGTACAACAGCAGTAACATGAGACCTACAACGTTACCAATTTGTCATGTCATTCATTTCTAAAATTATGGGCCAGGTAGACATTGACTGATGATATGAGATGATAATTCAAAGACGGTGGACAGATGTTTCGCAATGTACGAATATAATTATTTAATCCCTGCAGTCTAAGACACGGTGTCGGCTTTATTCGGTTGTGTTGGACAACTGTTAATGTTGTTAGACTGTGGTCTGTTTTGAGATCCACTTTCGTTAGACATGTATTGATGTATGTAATTATATTGCATCGAAATCTAGCACAGAGTTATGTTATTAGATGGGGGCAAAGGAGAAGTAGGATCAACTAATGGTAGGTAATCAATGCCGTCCATGGACACCAGAGAGGATCCAATTGAGGTGGCGGTTATTTTAAAAACAAATACGTTTTTTTCTCGAAGGTTCATAGGCCGTATCAATTTGGACAGATAGTAATCGACAGCTTTTAGACTTTGAAGTAAGTCTCTATGTAATAATATTTGCTGTAAAAGTTTAGGATT